CAATATAAATCACGCTGATTTTGCGATGATGACTGCCTTTAGTAAACAGTTTAGTGATTCTGTCGTCCGTCTCAGACATCAAATCGTCTATGACCACTAGACGTCGTCTATCCCCCTGCCATTGTTCCATATCCGGAAGACCTTCGTTAAAGATGACGCCCTCCATGTTTTCATACAGAGGTTGCCATTCCCCGTAGCACCAAATAATCTCCTCCGGCAGCGGGTCGACCATAGCGTTCAAATGTTTTAAAAACTTCTGCACAAATACAGTTTTACCGCTACCGGTAGGTCCGGCTATCAGAGAGGTAAAGGGATGCCTCCACCGCGGGTCCATACCTTATACTGATAGTGTCTTTTTCCAAACAGCTACTTTTATCGATTTAAAAACTATTCTAAAACTGCTTAACGTTACTAAGAAAAGGACAGTTTACGATGACGCGGATGATGATGATGGCTCCCAAGCCCTGCTTTCTCCCTACCATCAAACCACCTTTCTAGGTTTCTTTATCTATCCCCTAAAACGACCCGCGGGCGTGCGTGTGTGCGTGTGTGCGTGCGTACGGGCGGGCGAGCGTACCCCGTTGAGCGACACCAACTGACGAGTTTTCCTAACCCGACTGCTCCAGCAGATTAACCACTGAATCCTGCTGACCAATCAGAACCTTCGCCCACTTATTTATAAATTCAGATAGTCTGCCAATTATGCCCCTTCTCTTCGGCCCTCAACAGTATTACCAGACATCCACCCTTCTGTCGTACATTTTCCTTTTTACTACAGCTCAAACCATCCCTGAGCGATCGACCTTCGCTTCCATGATGCAGATGCTGATGATGCCGGCGCCCAAGCTGCCCTTTCTAATATATCCCCGGTCATCACGCCGCCTTCCTAGGTTTCTTTATCGCAAGTCTAAAACGGCTCCCCTCTGCCACCTGTCGCTGCTGCCTGTGTCTATTTTCATATCCCCTAACTTGTTGTAACATATATATATCCCCTGCTAACCAACTACTCCTAATTTTGTCTATTACAGAACCCATAAGCCCGCACCAACTCTATTAGTCGCCCTGTCGCCCCTGCCCCGCTTGCCCCGCTGCTCACCTGAATAGTGTTCCTGACCTCATCATTTATATAACGCCACCTGTCACCTGCAGTTATGAAGATAATAACGCGCCTACAAAGTATCGATTTCCTATACCTTTCCCTAAAACTAATCACTTCTGCTGTCATCAGCCTCCCGATCGATATTTACTAAGGATAAAGAGAGAGGCTGCCCGATCGATATTTACTAAGGATAAAGAACAGCCTCCTAGAGAAACCAATCACTTTTGGCCGCCATCTTTTACTAAGGATAAAGAGGGATCGATTTCTCAAATACGGCCCGTAAACGACTTATACACTACTACTGTAGCCTAACACTGTCCGTTTCAGAACAAGTAAAAGACTTGTCAGTCCCAGCAAAATCTTGAAGCTTGCACACGCAAGACTTCCAGCCAAAAAATGGCCGATTGACGACAGACCGCTGACGGTTTGGTGTTGCTGATGCAAATTCCCAATTTTCCGATAATTAAAAGCAAAGAGGAAAGGAATTAGCTACCTCAACTCATACGTCCAGGGCCTAGATTTTGCGAAAACAACACTTGAAACCGAAATGAAATTAACTGTCACAAGGTCAGGTGTTCGTTTCACGGTGCATCATTCAGTTTGCGAGTGCAATTTTTAGGAAGATCGTCGCTGGAGCTAAGGAGTTTGTATTATGTGCGACTCTCTAAGCACTGGGTGATATTCACAACAACAAAATTTGCATGCTTAAGAATAAAAATATGTTATAATATTAAACAATGACTCTTAATGTAGTAGTAAATTATAATCTCTTTTACTGTATCAAATGTGCAGTCAGGTGTAGCACACTGTAATTACTTTATTACACTCAATAAGTGTGATATATAACACCTTCACTAGCTGCATTTAAAGAGAATAACAAGTTTAGAGTATAAATAGTACTGACGTGTACGGGAATTCCTAGGTTATTGTAAGACATCAAGGACGAATGACAAATGCTGCCGAACTTTGGTATGAGAAGTTTTAGCTGTCACACACACAGTCTAGGGTGGGACATTTTGAGGTTACACACACACACACACACACACACACACGCTTGCACGCACGCACCCACATACACACACACACTCGGGGGCACACACACACTCACACACACACACACTCACACACACACACACACACACACTTACACTCGGGGGGGGGGGGCACACAAACACATACACACATATACTTACACTTGGGGGGGGGGGGGCACACACACACTCACATTTACACTCGGGGACATACACACACACGCACGCACACACACACACACATATATAGACACATACACACGTTTACATACAAACACTTGCAAGCCAGTACCCACCCATATTTTTTCGACTGCATTAAGTTACAAACTTACAACATAAGACAACCCCAGTCAGTAAAAGGGCTCATGTGGGGGGGGTGGGGGTGGGGGGGGGGGGGGCACGAATAGACCCACTGACTCTCTAGCAAGCATGTCGTCAGAGTCGAATGTTTGGCGAGGGCGAGGGTGATTCCTTCGGAGTGCTTCTGCTTGAGAGGCAAGGAACCAACAGTCTGCATAAAAAAGTCAGATCTATATAAGGGATGTGCAGTGCACGGAGGGCTGAGTGGTCTCTAGGTATGGTGTCTGACTCGTGCTGGAGGTCCCCGATTCAAGCCCCTGTGAAGGTTGGGATTTTTTCAGGTGGACTTCTAGTAATTTCCCCTAGTCTCTGGGTAGTAAGATCGGACAGCTGTGTGTATTCTTGGGAACGTTAAAAAAAAAAAACCTGGCAGTTGTTTATCAAAAAAAAAAAAAACCATAACAGTTCCGGGCAGAATATGGAGTTAAAAATCTACCCAAAGTATTTCAGGTTCCTGCCGGTGCAAAGAAATTCGTGTATTGCGCTGAGATCTATCCATCTATCTGTCTGTCTGTCCATCCATCTGTCTGTCCATCCATCTGTCCATCTGTCCATCTGTCTGTCTGTCTGTCCATCCATCTGTCTGTCCATCCATCTGTCATGTCTGTCCATCTGTCTGTCTGTCCATCCATCTGTCTGTCTGTCTGTCTGTCCATCTGTCCATCCTGTCTGTCATCCATCCATCTGTCCTGGTCCATCCATCCATCTGTCTGTCTGGTCTGTCTGTCCTCCTGTCTGTCTCCATCCTGTCCATCCATCCATCTGTCCATCCTGTCTGTCTGTCCATCTGTCTGTGTCCATCCATCTGTCTGTCTGTCTGTCTGTCTGTCATCCATCTGTCCATCTGTCCATCTGTCTGTCTGGGTCCTATCTATCTACTCTATTCCGAAAAAAACAAACGTAATACACACAGTCTACAATCACAACTATGCTACAAAAAAAAATTTGGTAAACTATCTATCAGTTTCTCTCTATCTACTCTCAGCCATCTATACTTACCATCTATTCTCTAACTCTTCTTTATCTATCTGTTTGTCTATTGTCTACACCAGTTGTCTCATTATTTTACTCTTGTCACTGTTCAGTTTTACAATAAACGTCTACATTATAATTACTGTAACATTAGTTTATACGAACCCAGCGGATCTTCCTTCTTCTAATGTTACACCTTCACTTACTCCAAAGTAAAATGAAAGTTCATCTTGAAAACGAAACAATTGATTCCTGGAAATAAGTGGAAATTCCCATTATGTCATGACAGCTATGTAATATTGGGAACTGGGTGGGGTTGGGGGGGGGGGCGCTGTTTCTTGACCCTCTCTCCACCCCCCCTCCCCCACTTGTTCCTTTTATCGATAATTTAGAATTTGAGATTAAGTCTCGCCCCTCATACCGAAGTTCTCATTGTAAATATTTATATACTTCAGAGCAATAGCCACAGCGTAGTAGCTAGGAGCTCATTAGTCGGCTTGCAGGTTTTGGGGTTCAAATCCGCACGCACCGTGTGGGTTCCAGGGCCACACTGTGGTGGAGGTGGTGGGGGGGGGGCAAGAATAGACATCTTGCCTCCTTAGCAAGCATGTCGTAAGAGTCAACAAACTGGAAGCTTCTTTCGAAGTCGGAGTGCATCACCATGAGAGGCGAGGAACCAACAGTGTGCATACGAATAAATCAAATTCTGTAAAACGACCAATGTGCAAGCAACACTCAGGTTATGGAACACGACTAAAATCCAGAGGTGGACGAACAGCCGAAACTTGGCACCCAAGTTAGCAGCCAGTGAACGAGAAGAAGAAGAAGAAGAAAAAGAAGAAGAAGGAAAGGAAGAAGAAGAAGAAGAAGAAGAAGAAGAAGAAGAAGAAGAAGAAGAAGAAGAAGAAGAAGAAGAAGAAGAAGAAGAAGAAGAAGAAGAAAATCCACACTGGGTAAAGTGTTTTTTTTTTTAAACCAACCTCTGCCAGGTCGACCTAGCCCACAACAGTTGCCAGGTAATGCCATGGAAAACAAAGACGGTTGCCATGGTGTAGATGACGTCACACAGTGGTGTCGACTGGTCAATAAACAAAACATTTTCAATACTATATGCTGGTACGACAAAAGGAACAGCTCCCTTACCGAATTAATTTCTTACTTTTATGTTTCATATTGTTTCAGGTACGCGCGGTATACTGTTAAATTCGGCTGTTAATGTTATTTAGAACACAAAAGAAACACATTAAGACAAAATATAAATTTGCAGTACATCGTGGCAGTGGTGAAACGTCACAAGCTAACTTGGTTCGGGCACGGGGGGGGGGGGGGGGGGGGGGAGACATGATTCGAGTGCAAAAAATGTACTTCAAGGAACATTAGGTAAAGGCAAGGATTGGGGGTGGGGGGGGGGGGGTGGCGGCTATTAGTCAACAGATAAAGAAGAACCTGGAATGGCAACCTCAAGAAATAGACAGGACTAAGTTATCACACACCTTCATTTTTTATTTTTTGAAGGTTAAAAATTTTATTAGTGGCAATTAAGCTGCAGGTTGTTGCTCTTGGGGCTTGCTGCGGATGATGTCAGAATCACCTGGGTCTGTGATTGAGAAGGTGCAGCATCAGAAGTACTTTCCGCAGGCAGTTCCTAGCTCAATGTTGTTGCCAGTGTAGTGACGGACACCAGTTTTGGCCAACATGGCATAGTACTCAATCTCAGATTTCCTGAGAGGAGGGGTGTTGTTGGCAATGATGACCAGCTTGGCTTTTCCTGCTCTCAGGGTCTTCAATGTCAAGCGGAAGACAGACTGACTGACTGAATTTCTACCCCACCAGGACATCACACAAGCGATAAACACCCGATGACACAAAGTGCCACCATGTGGATGAGGATCGCCGTGGAGAGGTCCCAGAAACCGCGTTCAGACAATTGGCCATATTTATGACCTGCCTATATTGCGGCCCCTGGCAAAAGCCAGAGTGGGGCTTCAAATAACAAAAAATTACGTCCTTAAAAGGACGTAAGGAATAGTATTTATAAGCTAGTGCTTCAATCAATTCACCTCCACGACTCTATCAGGTCAAGGGATATGTTACTGTTATCAATTATTATTATTAATATTGATTTTCAAAGATATAATATGGCATTTTGAATAAGAGTGTGGGTTTTATTGGCCCATTTTAAGAGTAGTTGGGTGGGGTGGGTGGGGTGGCGGTCCAAGTCCAAGTCCTTTGAAAAAAAAAAAAGCTCAACCATGTTCTGACTGCTGCTAGCTAGCGGGGTGGGGGTGAGGGTGTCACTGCCCTATTCACAAGAATGCTGTAAAAGGGAAGTAATTAGGGGCTGTTTTATTTTTTTTCGAAGTGCGAGTGCATCTGCCTGAGTCGAGAGGAACCAGCAGTGTGCACATAAAATATGCCACATCTGTAAAACGGTCGTGCATAAGTTCTGTAAGTCTACAATCAGACAAACGGCGAGAACTTCCCTCCAGAGTTTGCCGCCGGTAAAAATAAAAATAAACAGTATAAGAAGAATTAGCCACACTGATTGTTATTGTCACAGGGCGCTGCGAGGTCTCGAGGCATGGTGTCTGGGTTCAAGCCCCGGCGAATGCTGGGATTTTTTCACGTGGCTTTCTAGTAATTTCCCCCTGGTCTTTGGGTAGTAAGATTGGACGCCAGTGTGTATTGTTGCGCACGTAAAAAATCCATTGGCAGTTGGAAAGCGAAAAGAGCAGCCTAATGGCGCTGTCCGGGTAACATTTTGAGTTACAAATCTACCCAAAGTATTCAGGATCCTGATCGGTACAACAGAGTTCGTGCACTGCTATGCGATTCTTCGGACTCAGGCTTGAGTTAACAGAAGAACGGAGCACTTATGGGTTACACCCGTGTGTCGTGATGTTGATCCATTAAAGAAACATAAACAAACGTAAAAATTGTTGTTGTAACATGTTATGACAGATAACTTTAACAATTGCTTGATTCAGTGTTCAGTTCAACTAGCCACAAATGCTTTTCTATGTTTTCATCGTGACAGAGCCCAGGAGATCGATTGTATATTGATGCAGTGTTCAGTTAAAGAATTCACATAAAGTCCTAATCTTGTTCTTCTCAGCTTTCACCGAATGCAAACTCTGGTGAAAAGTTTTGGTTGTTCGTCCACTTCTGAACTTTGGTATTGTTCCAGAACTTGAGTGCTGAATGCACCTCCAGTTTACACAAATGGCTTATTTGGATGCAGACTGTTGGTTTCTCGCCTCACCGGTAGATGCACTCTGACACTTAACTCTTTGAGTCCTATTGGGTTTAGCATCACAGGCCCAAGGGGTAGTCAAGAAAGATGTAAAATCGGCGCATCTTGCGTTGATTGGGCATCTAGGTAGGAATCTATGAACGTATGACGCGTTCCATTGGACTCAAAGAGTTAAGGAAACGCCGATCCTTAGCCTTCTTATTACAACATGCTTGTTGTAGGCAGTCGACTATTCTCTTCCCCCCCACCCCCCCCCCCCCCCCCCCCCCATTAAATATTGCCACGAAAAAAGAACTAACCTCTCGCTGAATTGTAGCAATAAAATGAAAGGTTTCCCTGTGGCTGCCATGTTTATTTCATATACATGGATCAAAACTTAAATATAAGAAAACACTTGATGCGGTATCTGAGACATGGGGAATAGTCAGTAACTCACCATGCGTTGTTTGGAGTTGGACGAATTGTGAGCTACATAGAATTAATTAACAGGTAACGAAAGCGAAGGATAGAACGTTCAATGATACTACTAAGTGAACTTGTTAGTTCATTATTTTGTTTACCACAAGAAACCTTTCCATAGATAGAAACTTAACAAATGCACCCAGACTAGATTCAATGTGAAACGTTTATAAATAGAACAAATGAACCACGTCATTTACGGGAAAATCCAAGTTAAGTTTCGCTTGAATGGAATTTTTTTTTTTAATGGGGTAAACTTTGAGCTTTATAAATGATGTTCTCCTTTATCTTCGAGCGCCTTTTCTTCTCCTCTTTTTTAAATTCTCTTTCTCTTTTTCTTTCTCCTTCTTCTTTTTTTGCTACTTCTTACCACCACCCCTCCCCCCGCCTTCTTCTCCTTCTTATTTAACACATAGTCTGTAAGGCGTTCCTGCTTCGAATATAATCAAGTGGTTCTGTCCCTCGAGAGGTCGGCTTAGCACTTAACATTTGTGACTGACTGACTGACTGACTTTCTACCCCACCAGGACATCACACAAGCGATAAACACCCGATGACACAAAGTGCCACCATATGGATGAGGATCGCCGTGGAGAGGTCCCAGAAACCGCGTTCAGACATTTGGCCATATTTATGGCCTGCCTATATTGCGGCCCCTGGCAAAAGCCAGGGTGGGGCTTCAAATAACAAAAAATTTCGTCCTAAAAAGGACGAAACTGAATAACCAGAGTAATTTGTGACTAGGTTTTGTGCACCATATAAAATGGATTAGCATCGCACGTCAACAAGTTGCTCTGAAAAGGAATCCTGTAGTGTTGATGCGATCAAAGGAGACACTCAAAGACTGTCATGTCCATCGACGAAGTCGTCTACCGGCGAGCCAGTGGGCGAACCGGTCGCCATCGAAGCTTTGAAAATGTATGTCGTTCAACTCCGCTAGAACCGTACAACGAGCGACCTACACTCGGTGACACAAAGTTCCATCACTCAGATGAGGCTCCGCCGGTCACGAATCCCAGAAACCACGACAGACGGAGTGGAGCTTTACAATAACGAAAAACTGTCCCACTTTGGGATGGAAAAATTTTACTAAGCTTTCATATTGGACTTCTTCCTCTTTTATCTATACTGTAGTTCACGTGTGTTTATGTGTGGTGTGTGTATGTGTGTGTGTGTGTGAGTGCATGCGCACGCGTGTGTGCACATGTGAATCTGTGTGAGCACGTATGTGTGTGTGTGTGTGTGTGGGGGGGGGGGGGGGGGGGGGGGGGGTGGAAAGGGATTGCACTGCGATTTCCGGTTCCGCATTTACGCCATTTGTGATTGTCCTTTGCACCACTTAAAGTGACTCGATATATGAAGTGATTTAACTCGGGACTCGACCCACAAGCATTCTTTGTGACTTGAGACTTGACTTGGTGGCACTGACTTGGGACTCATCTTGGACTTGAAGTATAGCTACCAAGTTCAGCATCTGCAAACGACTGTCAAGAATTGCCTCGCAATATCTTTTTCTGCGTTAGCGCAGTCGATAGGAGGCTCGCTTTTAAATCCAGCTGCGACTCGCTGCACCCACGGTCAGTGTTGGAAACCGGGCAGTTCCCGGGGTTCACCCAGCCTCTAGGAAATGGGTACCAGAGTGACACTCTGGGGTAATGGAGGAACGTTGCTGTAGCTTTAGAGTTACATGCGAACGGCGACACAGGCAGACAATTCTTATCAGCTATCCGTACTGGTGGCAGAGCACTTATGGTTTATAACTGTGTGCAGTGACGCTGGTTCACATCTCCTGACTTTACCTTTACCTTTTTATCTTCTGCTGCCTGCTTCCCCACAAATAAAGATGTACTGACGAAATTGAAGACTGATACATCCACTTCTTCATACCACAGCGCACGCCGTGTTCCTTTCACGGACTGCATGATTCGGTTCCGGAGTGAAACTTTTACTAAGGCCGCTCTGGATCGTCACTGGAACTGCGAACGTTCGTGCTTTGTGCTACACTCTCAGTAAGCGACTATCTATTCTACCGAGAGAGACAGAGCTATGTAGAGGAAACACCCAGTGCAATGAAATCGCAGATGGTTCCTCCCCTCGGCGCTTAACGAGACGAGGTGGTTTATGATGAAAGTGATAATGAATAAAATCGATTCTTTAAATTTGTTATCCTAAAACACACGTAAAATTCCAATTCCATGGATCGTATTGCTGCAGATTTTGTTTACTTTTGGTCGTCCTCGAGTTCGACCAGTCGCCTAATTGACGACTTGCGACACGATTTGGAGTTTTGCCCAGCGACTTACAACTCGACGTGGGAGGTTTTGTCCAGCGACTTACAACTCGACGTGGGAGGTTTTGTCCAGCGACTTACAACTCGTCGTGGGGTTTTGTCCAGCGACTTACAACTCGACGTGGGGTTTTGTCCAGCGACTTACAACTCGACGTGGGGTTTTGCCCAGCGACTTACAACTCGACCTGGGAATTTTGAACAGCGACTTACAACTTGACATGGGGTTTTGTCCAGCAACATACAATTCGACGTGGGGGTTTTTTCCAGCGACTTACAACTCGACATGTGGTTTTGTCCAGCGACTTACAACTCGACGTGAGGTTTTGTCCAGCGACTTACAGCTCGACGTGGGGTTTTGTCCAGCGGCTTACAACTCGACGTAGGGTTTTGTCCAGCGACTTACAACTCGACGTAGGGTTTTGTCCAGCGACTTACAACTCGACGTGAGGTTTTGTCCAGCAACTTACAACTCGACGTGGGGTTTTTTCCAGCGACTTACAACTTGACGTGGGAGTTTTGACCAGCGACTTACAACTCGACGTGGGGGTTTTGTCCAGCGACTTACAACTCGACGTAGGGTTTTGTCCAGCGACTTACAACTTGACATAGGGGTTTGTCTAGCGAATCGCGACTCGACGTGAGGTTTTCTGCAGCGAGTAGCGACTCGACTTGCGACTTGTAGAGTGGACGACTTGGTACGACTCGTTCTTCACGACAAATTGTTGGATTGTTGTGCAATTTGAACAATGCGATGAACGTCAGATTTGATAAAATCTTATTAAAATAAAAACGACAAAATGAATTCTCGTTCGATTTATT